ATTTATTCCTGCATTTTGGTTATGTTTCTTTCTTTGCATATCGTCACTACATATTTCACTCATATTAGGGACACAGCTGAGTGGAATCTGCTGCGAAGTGCTGATTAGAACTGCGTGGCATATTGCTGGCATACTGCTATCATTTGGCTATCTGGGACGTTACTAAAGTTTAAAATTAATGTTTATTAAAAGTATATAAGTATAATATTTATTATAAAGTTTATGAAATATAGTATTATTGTTTAGTATGAAGTTTATTAAAGTCTATATAAAGACTGTTATTCTAAAAAAAGTGCAACAAAAATAGATTATGAAGGTTGTGATAAAGACTGCTATGTATAAGTATTTGTATCTCTTACGATAAAACCGTCCTCATGTTTCTTTTCTTACATTATATGCTACTAAAATATAAATAAACAAAAAGTAAGAATAAAATAAGTTTTTATTCATGTATAAATATATTACAAACATTAAATAAAAAATATATTATATGTACTTATATTATATTTACTATTTATGGTACAATATGTGCTACAAGAGCTGTTAAATATTCGCGGTAGATCAATCCTCTTGCGTCATTAACTAATTGATCAAAAATAACATTATTCTCATTAGCATTGGTAGCATCCTGTTTTATGTCGTCGTCTATAAAATCATCTAAGTCATCTTGACAATCTTCCAGGCAAATATTATGGAGAACGCAACATGCCAAGATGACAAATGGTATCAAATCTGTGCAACTCATGTGCAAATATTTTAACCGTCGAAATCTTCCTTTAAGAAGGGCAAACGCTCTTTCAATAACTTGCCTTATTTTAGACAAATGTTCATTAAAATTTATCTGTGCCTGTGTACATACAAAAGAACAAATTTCAATTCATCAACGAAATTATTACACGCAAGATATCGATCATGTCATTTTTCACTAGAAGCAAAAACATGAAAAGTAAAAAGTTTTACATGAATTCGACGAAAAAAAGTGTCAAATTTACGTCAAAGTTTTCACTTTACATGTTTCTGCCCTTAGACAAACATTATATGATTGATGTCCTAAACTAAAATTTTTTATTGAATTTTTCACATAAATATGTTGATTGTGTATCATGCAATGTAGTAAACATTACAAGACTGAGCAAATTTATTCTTCTAGTTGTTCTTAATTAGTCAATAAAATTATAAATGTTTTAGTGAATTATAATACATTTTATTAGTGAATGATTATAATGTTTGCTCACTTTTTTGTAATTTTTACTTACATTGAATAATATACAATCAATATTCAGACACAATTATAGATAAAATAAAAATAAAATTTTCCAACATATTGATTCATACCTGAGTCAAATTGCCCTTGTTGATGTATGGAGCTAAGCATCATGACAACACCGGATAAGCCTTATCATCTATTATAAATTCATTGTTGGGAAAAAAGGCTTGTTCATTTGCTACTACTGTATGCCAGAAATCAGAGTTCCTGAAAATCCTGGCATCATGAACGGATCCAGTAAATTCGACAAAACAATCCGTGAATATTAAGTTTGCATCGCACACAGCCTGCAGTGTAATAGCATATTGTTTTTTTCTTGTCCTGTAGTAGATAGAATCAACCTATATAAATAAAATACAAGATTTGATAACATAAAAATATTTTTGAATACTTTTCATAGGCGGTATTCATAGTCCATTCTTATATTTAAGATTGTCTTAAGTATTGTTTTAAGATGGTATAAATTAATCAGCTATATTAATATCTTACATGACGACTTAAGGCGATCTTAATTATAAGAAACAACTATATAAATATCTGTTCATAGATTCTTATCTTATAAATAAGTGGATTTACCATGGGTGCTGGAATAGAAATATGAGTTCCGCCGATTGCCCCAATCACATTAGGAAGAGAGCCAATATCTGAAAATCGATGTTTTATCTCATTTAATCGATCACCTTTAGGCCATGTAATAAATCTATCAGCAATATTATTCAAAGCAGCCACAACTCTTCTCATGGAATCATGCAGCATTGATTTACTGATGTCAAAGCGATCAGACACAGATCTACAAAAATAAGAACAATGTATTATTAACTTCTTCTATCTTTATAATACAAAAACTGCGTGTATTTTGATAACAATTTCACATAAACTTACCTGAATGAATCAAGAGTTGCAAGCAACCACAAGACTGCAAGTAATTGTGTGTGAACATTTAAAGTACATCTTCCACTGTTTGCTGTCCTTATTAAATAAGGTGTTAATATTCGCTCTAAATTTTCAAATGTTGTTTTCTTCATTCGAAAATATTCTTTGAACTGTTTTCCTGTGTAATTAGGTATTGTTGTGGCATCATAACTTTTAATTCTTGTTACACGTCTTAAATCTCTCCGAGTACGGAGACGTTCTTCGAGCATAATTGCCTCTTCATTCCATCGATCATATTCATCGTCACTACTCTTCTCATGCGTCAGTCTTTTAACAATACATTTTTCTTTTAATAAATTGTATCCCGCTATTGCAACAATTGCAAGAACAACATTTCGACGCTCGTCCATGTTTATACAAGCCACACGAGAAGCGTTCGGAGACACTTGACACTCGAAGGCACACGGTACTCAAACTACTTTTCCACTGAAATCACCGACNCGCACTACAGTGTGTGTTTCCGAACGCAGCCTCACTAATTCGCTTGCTCGCTCACTCACTCACGCACTTTCTGCTACAGTGTAATAAAAGAAGTTGTAACATTGCGGATATATAAAAGTGCTGCTTACTGAGACAGCCAGTCAAATTTGGATCCAATTACATCTACATAGGCCCTGTTCCGTTATTACTAGCAGTAGTGAAAATGTATAGGTTCACGTTACGTATCCTATAGATTTTTTAGTACTGCCAGTAATAACGAAACAGAGCTATAATTAGATTCGCATTTGGACCAAAATCTGATTGGTTGGCTATTGCGCATCCACGGAATGTTATACCTTATTTTATTACACCAAGCTTTCTGCCATCTATCATCGAGCGATTAAGTGAATAAGAAAACAAAAAGAGAGATAGTAAATATAACCCAGGCAACCAGCTGACGTTATAATGACGTTAATATAAAGTCAGTTTTTGACCAGTTCGACGTTAGTTTATGACGTGATATTAACGTAATGACGACGTGAGTTTGTCTCGTCAAAAATGACGACAGGTTAATGACGTTTACTTACGTCATTAATCTGACGTAAC